CCTTTAAACCTTAATTTAACTTTCAACAACAGATATTTCAGCACAATTAATGTTTTTGTGCTGATTATTAATTGTCTCTCTTTTCCGTCTGTCTGACGCGCGTGCACGCGCCCGCCGCTCATTCAGTAAAGATTCAAACTTAACACGGACTGTCAGGAGGGACCTTTATGCAAAAATGGAAATGCTCGCATGAATTTGTGACATTTATACATAAGGATATGACCGTAAACTGAAAGTTTTTGCGCTGAGGACGCACACGCATCATCTGCCAAAGCACCTGACAGGGCAAGCCATTACGCTGATGCTTCAGCTTAAAGGGGTCATATGATGCCCATTTTCCACAAGTTGATATGATTTGGTAGGGTCTTAAAAAAAAAACACCGGGTGGATTTTTATCATTATAGGGTGGCTGTGTACACACACTGCCAACACACCTTTCAGTTCAAACAACTTGTAAAAGTGCATGTAGCATCCTATGACCCCTTTAAAGCTTAAATAAAGAATTCTCATGTTTTGGGCAGCTTGGATCATGTAACTCTCCCGCAGCATTTCATTCTGTTTCCTCCACTATTTTTAGATGCATTTTGTCCATAGAAACGCGTAATTCAGCCCTGTAATTAGACGCAACCGGCTGAAGTTGGACGTGCACTGTGGGTAGACCCGACTAATCGATAATGAGAATCGTTGTCGATGATTTTCATAATCGATAATTATCGATTTTATCGATTAGTTGTTGCAGCCCTACTTACAATAGAACCGATTACATATCTGACATTTTAAGCACATCTTAAAACAACACAAAACATAATTACTGATTCACTTAAAGGATTAATATGTATCTACTTATTTCCCTCCTCACCTTTGCAATTTTTCTACTGCTTCAATGTCAGTTCATTTCTCAAAGCAAAAACATTGCTCATTGCTTCTTTCCTGTGGCCAGCTGAAGGTCAAACATCATTATCCTGTTCTATTGCTTTAATTGGAAGTCGTGCAACATTCAGATGGGCCTCATGTGAGCAAAAAAACAAAACCAGAGAGACAGAAGGTGTGTGACCCTTAGGGGGCCTGTGGCAATGCTGCAGGGGATCTGCCAATTATCTCTAATTACTTTCTATGGGGGAAAAGAGTAAATAATAGTACAAGAAAATAATTATCAGACTTATTGTATCGGCCAGAATTTGAATATCCTTGCATCTCTACTATACACTTGGGCAGTGATTTTCAACCAGCAGGCTGGGGCCCACTAGGGGGCTTCAAGATTACTTGGAAATTATTCAAAATTATGTAGGCATTGAATATCATTGAAGATTGAGATCCACTACACTAAGGGTTCATTTGACTGTACTGAATTTCACAAACAGTTACAAAGACATGCCAAGTAACATTTTAAATTAAACATAAAAATTGTAAGAATATAATATAACTGAAATAATATTTTCTTGTAAATCATACTCCAATCATTTTTGTTTTACAACTGCACAAAAGCAGCATTTTTTAGTCTAGCAAACTAGCAAACAATTATGCACTCAAACTGGACAAAAAAAATCATTTTTGCAATAAATTGTTTTATCATACAACAGTGTACCCTGAATCTTTATCCAGTTTCCAAGACATAATATGGAAACACCATTCCAATGCTGTAATGTAACTTTAATATAAGAGTACACACCTCTTTCACACCTGAACTATGAGTCAGCCTAGCCCAAAGCAAAGCAAAATGTGACTTTTTGATTTAATTCTGCACAAATCATGTTTTGCAATGTTTACTTGTTCGTTGGAAAACAGTTCAGAACATGTACTGCAAGGTTCTCTAACCGGCAATGCATTCACTGGGTGTAAGGACGAAAATCGACCTTGAACACCGCCATTGGTTATGCACTGTGCCATTTCATTTAGAGCTACCTTTTTTGCACCTTTAATATCTGCAGGGTGCTTTCAATGCCAGCTAAGAATATACACCCTCAGTGTGAAACCACATGACAAACGTGTCTTACTCATACTATAATAGGGCTTTTTATCTGGACCATGTATTATAAATTCGATTAAATTAGAAAACTCATTTTCTTCATCATACTAGAAACCCATGGACTGCAACAACATCTGATAAAATGAAGGAAAGGTTCATATAAAGGACACCTTCCTCACTCCTTCAAAGCTAATAACCATTACTTCCGATAAACAATATAATAAAATTTGATATAAGCGGTATGTTTAGACAAACAACTGAATTTTTCTACCTATTTTATAAAATAGATGACTAGACAACACCATATTTTCAATAAATACGAACATGTCTGGAATTAATTTTAATCAGCATATGTATTCATGGTGCATTGAGGATAGCTAGTATTGCTATAAATATTGCTGGGAGTCTAAACCTCAGCTTTGCTACTTAATGCCTGTGAGCAGAAATGGAGATGGATTGTGAAAGATAATATCATATCATATCCCTGGGCTTTGGCAAGGCATTTTCCTCTCCATAAGCTTCTCCATAAGTGTGGGCTTTGTCCCTCCCAATGGAAAAACGGTATTGGAGAGGCAATGGGCTGTCACTTCTGCCTCAGAAGTCCTGGGAGACGAATTAGGTTGCTCTGATTATGGAGACAGAAGATTCTTCTTCTCTTTTCATGTTAGAATATAACTTTTTTAAAGGTACATCTCAAAGAGTTCAACTGCTCGTTATTACAAATTATATATGCTAAGATTTACATCATAATCTAAACAACGGCTCTTTTGAAATCTCAATTATTCAGATTTTATCACAAATTCTGATGTTAATAAGGCTCTCCATTGCTGTGGATAGGACAGTCCACAAAGATGAACCTCAACAGAATGTGCAACTGTAAGTATGGCAGGCTTTGCACAGGAGTCTTGAAAAAAAAGGTCCAACCAGAGGTAATTCTGAGGTGATTCTACACTAACAGAGCCACCTAGTGGTGCATGGATGATTTTCTCTGTAAACAAACCAACCACCCACCGCTGTGCAATTTTCATTGCCCCTAATACTGAGAAAATGGCTTGATTTTAAAAACTTTGCATGAGGCAGGGAGGCTCACGTGTGAATGCTGACGGGAAATAATGTTCAAATGAGCAAACTTTGAAGTTGTTCTACTCCCTTATCACTGAAAACCACACTACAGCGGGACGGTTCGGACTATGATGCATCTATCTATAATGAATGAATGCAATAAGAGTGATGCTGTTATATCTGGCATTCCTCTCCCCTTATACTGTTTTCCACTGGCTAGCTGGCAGGCAGAGACTGCTAATTCGTAAACATGCCATAATAACAAAAATTAAAGATGAGCCTCTTTTCTCTGCACAGAAAAAGAGTGTCAAGAAAACATCAATAATTCACATCTTACTCTCTCTCTCTGCTCTCTCCTTACAACTGTTTATTAGCCCAGCTTGTTAGACAGTACACTAATGAATGGCTAAAAATGAAAACTTATCATGTATTTCTCATCTCTAATCCTAAATGATAATTATAGAATTTAATACAGACAAATAGACAAGTTCAAACTAAAGGAATTAGATTTGGCTCTTCAGTAACTACAGCAAATGTCATGTGTAGCGGACAAAGTACATATCCAGGGTTAAAGAAAAGGTAAGCCACTTATGAAAAAGACATCTGCTTTTGTGTCACGTATTTGCACTCCAAGGAATATGAAAGAGAATATTAATGCTACCATTGTTCCGCACAAAGATGATCTAAGCAGCACCTGGAGGAGAAGCTTTAAAGGGACAGTCTCATTTCAAAGGCTTAATGTACAAAACAAATGGATAAATACTTATATAAGAAAATGCTTAATGCATTATTTAAGTTAATAACAATGACTAGAAAAATAAAACAAACACCAATGGTTGTTCTTCAGTTCCTCAAAGCAAGTCAAGTCACATTTATTTATATGATGCATTATATACACACTCTTTCAAAGCAGCCTTATAGTAATGAACAGGAAAATAACTGTTAATATTGTTAAAACTGTTAATAAAATATTATGAAAAAAACATGCATTAAAATAACTTAAGATTACTTATGTGGGCAATAGTGCTTTTACGGAGTGTCTACTAAACTTACAAAGACTGTAAGAATGAAAAAGTTTATAAAACATTCTGCTTCTTTTCTTTATTTATTCAATGTACAGTACAGAACAACCTGTACCCTACATGTAAAGAAAACCTGCTTAAGTAAGATCATTCAATCAACAAGGATTCTGAAAATGAATAATAGCCTATATGCACAAAACTAAACTAATTTGCTTTGCAGAATTGTTTTAACATGTCTCCTAGTACATAAGACTGCAAATTGTATAAGTCTAAATCAATTGTTCGTTCTCTTGGCTAGATAAAGGACAGGTAATAATCCCACAATTGCCCAAGGCACTACATTAAATCCTCATATATTCAAGAGTTGACACTACTACAATCAAACTGTCTCGGTAAATTACACAGATCACAACAGGTGAAAACGAAGATTGCACTTGACTGAAAACTGACACTGTCCGCATCGACGGGGTTCTCAGGACTGTACAGTGATACATAATTGATCGTTTGCAGTAAATGAAACAGCTGTGAGATTGACGAAACCGAGAGCAATCTGTCAACACTGCCTCGTGCCACAGAAATGTACCTTTTTGGGGTCATCACTGCTTAAGCTTAAGAAAGTGATACTGATGAGGTCTCTCAAATTAAACGCCAGGTATGATACTATGAAGTGTATTTACTGTTCCTGTGTCCCTTATCATGTAAACATCACAGCACGCAACACATTCATCGAATTCGCGCTACAACTGGCTTTCGTGCGTCACAGCGTCAAGAAATCAGAGAAAGTGTAACGCCGCCAATTCATTTTAGAGTACGAGGTATCCGGTCTACTAATGTTGTTAGTGTGTTTAACAAGTATCTCCAACAGTATCGAGAGAAGGGTTAGTTTGGAGCCGCGCGTATCACCGCTAAACAAACTAGCACAGACTTTGACTTCGTTTTTATAAACATACCTGTAACTCTAAGCTGTAGTCCTCGTATAAGTGTGACGGGTATACGGTCAGATGGTGTTGCACTTGGAGAGAGAAAGTGTAATCCATTGACTGTATGATGTGGGCGCGTGTGTAGAATAGAGGATGCTCGTGTACAGCTGCCTGCGGTCCTTTAGTTCAATTGCAGAGCGTTCTCCGCCCCGCCGTCCTCCATTGGCTGGAGTAGTTTTTTTTTCTGCAGTAGTGGCTTTACAAGCTGGGATTTATAACAAGACACTAGTGCACAAATGAGAAAGATCAGAGATAAGATGAATGATGAATGTCAATTAAGTCAGCAGATGTATTTTGTTGCTATTATGCTTTTAAGTAAATACTAGTCACTTATAGAAAACAGACCGGAGCAGCAATCAGTTCTGCACCTGTTTTATTACATTTTACGTTATTTAGTTAATACAGGAATAGTTGGCCCAAAAATGAACATTTGTTGAAAATGTACTCCCTGGGACCAAGATGTAGGCTAGATGAGATCTGAGCAGATTTGATTAAATTTGGCCTTACGTGGTTACACTTTATAATAAGTATACACTAATAAAGTAGCCTATACTTACAGGTTATTTGCCAACTATTATATAGTTAATTCATGGTTTATAAACTGTAGTTAATTCATTAATAGAATCTTTACAAATAGTGAGTTCTTCATGCATCGTCGCTGTAATTAACCAAATTATTATTTTTTAAATGAGTTCATATGTAAAGAGTTAGATAATGCTTTGTTAACAACTTATTAAATAGTTGTACATTTAGATGAGGTCATGGAAAATGGGAAAATGTCATTGATTAAGTGCTGTACACCAACCTTTAGCTACGTTTACATACAGTACAGTATGTACATAATGGTTTTTACAGTTTATAAACTGTATATTATGTCCCTTAACCCTATAACAGAAAGTTGTATACCGTTTGTACTGTATAAAAACATGTTTGAAGAGTCCCTGTAAACCACATATGCAAATGTGTGTGTCCTACATGAATTTGTAAACATTTTAAGGGACATTGAATATGAATGCAACTAATGTTCAATAAAGCTTGGTTTATAGCACTTTAATTTGGTTTATAGCACAGTCATTTCCCATTTTCCGTGACCTAATCTAAAATGAGAACTACTCACTCTTTATTAGCAATTAACAATTCTTTGACTTTTAATAATAAGCAAATTAATAATAATAATTTTGTTAATTACAGTGATAATACATGAAGAACTTACGGTAGCACTTTAATATAGGGACCAATCCTCACTATTAACTATTTGCTTATTAGCATGCCTACACTCTAAACAATGCTGGGTTAAATACAACCCAGTGCTGGGTAAAATAGGGACAAACCCAGCAATTGGGCTGTTTTGACCCAGCGGTTGGGTTAAATGTTTAACCCAAACTTCTGGGTAGTAACCCAACCGCTGGGTCAAAACAACCCAATTGCTGGGTTTGTCCCTATTTTACCCAGCACTGGGTTGTATTTAACCCAGCATTTTTTAGAGTGTATTACTAACATATTTGCTATTTATTAGTACTTAAGTTATAAAGCGCATATTCTGCATGACCATATTCTACATCCCTAATCCTACCCAATACCTCAACTTAACAACTACCTTACTAACTATGGTTACACTTTATTTTAAGGTGTCCTTGTTACAGTGTAATTATACATTTAAAAAATGCTGGGTTAAATACAACCCTGTGTTGGGTAAAATATGGACAAACCCAGCGATTGGGTTGTTTTGACCCAGCATTTGGGTTACTACCCAGAAGGTTGGGTTAAACATTTAAACCCAATCGCTGGGTTTGTCCATATTTTACCTAGTACTGGGTTGTATTTAACCCAGCATTTTTTAGAGTAATTAATTAACTACATGTACTTACTATATGGTTAGGGTTAGGGGTTTGGTTTAGGGTTACTTGCATGTAATTATGCATAATTGATTGTTATTATAATAATAAGTACATGTAACAGGTCTAACAAGGACACCTTAAAATAAAGTGTTACCCTAAAAAGCAGCAAATTAGGTACCATAGTTCATGGTTTGTTAATGGTGGGAATTGGACCTTAAAATAAAGTGTGACCGAACTTACTATTTGTATAGAGTCTATGAATGTATTAATTACAGTTTATAAACTATGAATAAACGATAAAACAATAGTTTGTTCATTTATTATTATTGTATACTTATTAGTGTTACCCATTACATAACTTGCTTACCAATGGATCTTCTGCAGTGAATGGGTGCCGTCATACAGTTCATACAGCTGCTAAAAGCTGTGTTGTAAAGTAAAAAGTTGATTGTCTAAAAAAAAAACAAAAAAAAAAACAAATAAATAAACCCATCATTTAGACATTTTTAGTTTCAAACTGTTGTTTCCAGCCTATCCACACTTCAGAGCAATATTTGAGGATATTGCAAGATTTTACCTGGTGCCCCTTGCCTCGCAGCCCATTCCACCAATAATCATTGTGTTTAAACATTCACACAGAAACTGCATGGCTAGATATTTCAAAAGTGCATATGAAGAGAGAAATGTAGGAGTATATGTGACTATTGGGTGTTACATTTTCTTATTTAAAAAAAGCTGATGATAGTGAAACGGTAACACTTACAATAAGGTATCATTTTTTAACATTAGTGAATGTATTAACTAACTTGAACTAATAATGTACAATACATTTAAGCCCAGTTATATACAAACATTACTAAATTAGCCAATTCAAATTAAAAATACAATAAATACCCAAATAATACACAACTATAGCATAAAAATATTATTAAAACGTGTTATCATGTGACACGAAAAATCTCGGCTCTCTGGAACTCCAGACCTTTTTTTAAACTTTTAGACTAGGCTTTCTATAAAGTTTATTCACAAACTTTTACCTCATCTAGTTTATTTATATGATCGTCATTTATTACATCACATTTCCTCTGTCTTTGTCCTGTTTTTTTTTCGTCTTCTATTCTTTCTTTTTTTTTCTTCCCTGGGCACCAGAGGGCTTCGGTCTTTTTGACATAGTAATAATTTATTAGTGAACATCTATCACAATCAGGTAACTGATGTATGTAGAAGTGCGGCTGTGCGGGGGAAGATTCATCAGGCATCGAACCGGGGTGAGTCAGGAGAGCAATAAAATAGTTATGTTTTTGTGGGACGATCGCTTTTTTGTAATATTTTAAAATCATAGTATTGGTAATAAAAAAAAACTTTTTATGCCCCTAGCATTTGTCTATTCCACCTATGCCACGGGCCGGCCCTGGTTATACTTGTTATATATGTTATCACTTTAATTAGAAGTGCCACAATTAAATTGTGTTGTCTGTCACATAGGAACTACTAAACAGATATTTAGAATGTTTTTTTTTTTTTTAAGGTGCTGACAGTCAAAAAAAAGTGCTGACAATCGAAATGCATAACAAAATCTCTGTAAAAAAATGTAAAAAATTTGAACTGGGTAATCAAAAGTTGTACACATGGTTGTGGTTATCATGCCCACTTGAACACTTGGGCAAATACAGGAAATACAGTCATGTACAATAATTAGACAAGTAGTCAAGTGCAAAGATTGGAAGTGTAGGTATTGCAGGCCTTACATCTCTGCAATATTTTTTTTTAGTAGAATATTTAAGATAATATTTGGGTAAGATCATTCAAAATCAATTCAAATCAGTATTTAATAGAATAAATCAATATGTCCACTTATTTATTTATTTGCTGATCACCTTGTAGCAATTATTTTGCAATTTTATTTATTTATTTTTATCATGTCATACATTATTCATCACTGTAGTTGTAGTAACTACTGTTTGTTGTTGTGTTTTTTTTTTTTATTGAAAATTATTTTTTTTACAGCGTGGGCCTATGAATGAAGTCCTTTTCATATCCGATAACAGACTAAAAAAAATAATGTATGCCCTGCATTTTCGTGTGTAAATGTTTACCTTGAAAAGGTTCTAAAGAAAACATACTGCATCTTTTAACTCTGAAAAATCCATTGACCTTAGAGTGAATTTTGATTATGATTTGAAGTGATGCCAGGCTGTGTGGGGAGCAGTTCATCAGAATGACACTAAAGAGGATGTGGCCTTAGGCTAAACTCGACTTTGAGATCCTTTTGTTTTTGACTATTCGTCAGATAGACGGCCACACATCTGTTCACGTCAAATTAAAATTTCTTTTTGAAAAAAAAAGGAAAAAGATTCATATTGTGACATAATATAACCATCCACATTTAAACATGCCCAATTGATTTTGTCCCTTCTGCTCAACATTGTTTATGTTATGACATCTACTCATTATTGACGTAATTATCTCAATGAACGGTATTCTGTCATTCTGTCTGTGGCTCAGCGGTAGAGCATTGCGTTAGCAGTGCAAAAAGGTCATGGGTTCAATTCCCAGGGAACACACATACTGGTAAAAAATGTATAGCCTGAATGCACTGTAAGTCGCTTTGGATAAAAGCGTCTGCTAAATGCATAAATTATTAAATTATTATTAGTGTTTCTTGTCTACATGGTTTATTAAAGCATAAATTATTATCCTTGGGTTTCCATAAACGAATGAAAACTGCTCCACTCACTTCCTGTGTCTATAGAGTCACTCATTTTCAGGTCACCATGTCTGGTAACAAGCCAATGCAGAATTAGGCCAGTTTTACATGAGCTGTCACACACAGAAAATGTGTGAGCATTCACTCAACAAGCTTCAAAACCCCACATAAACCCAGTTTGAAAGGCTGTGCTCCAAATTTGTGAGGTGTATAATGTAGGCAAAAGTATGATAGAATAAATGGTGTGTGGCCTCTAAATAAAAATGTATTTTTATCCTCCCCATAGTCTGCTAGTTCCCCACTACTGTTGTGTATATACACATATGCACCTGATATATCTGGACTTTATTTCTTGCCATTTTTGGCACCAATGCTTCTGTCTGAATAAATGGTTTGACCATTTAAAAGGAACAGACAACTGTCTGGATGAGGAAGGGACAAATGTCTTGAGGATTCATTTGTGGACAGATTAGGAGCACAAAGCCGTTTGCAACTGACCAGCTGTTATTGCCGTGGTCTGAGTCTCAGACAGACTTCAAGAACTGTTTGACGCATATCG